GTGTTTGCTTGGCAGTCCGCACATGTTGCCTAGCCAGTGCCGCTTCCGGTCATCAAGCGTCCACTTACGGATGTATTCCCCCAATTCGAAAAGTGTTAACGAAGTGCAGGGCAGCAGCAACAGCAACAACAGCATTTTGTTAGTTTTTCTCGCACGCTTCAGCGGCACCAACTTCAAACCTCCAACTTCCAACTTTGGCCAGACCTCGAGGCGACAACGTGCTAATGACATTCAGCACTTGATCGCTTGGGAACTGTGCGTTTGGCAGCTGCTCTCTAGATAGATATCTACTATAGCTGCACGTATGCTATTAGCATTTGAATGCGATTATTGGGCCAGTTATTGCAGCGGCGCATTTAACAGTTAAGGCGATACTGCACATCCGCTCACAGATACATATATGAATATATATACATATATATATTTATATTTAATGAAAAACACAATAAATCCATGCAGTGAAGCTGTATGCTAAGGGCCAAAGGCGCTCTGGCTCTGGTTCTGGTTCTGGCTCAGCCACCCACGCAGTTGCATCATTTGGCAATTTAATTAAACGCGACCACCCGCGTCGAAGTTCGCGAAGGAGTCGGCAATCGAGCCACAGCAGTGGCGAGCTGCATTAGCAGTAATATGAACCATTCATACCCAAAGGGGGCAATCGAATCTTTGCTCGCTTGCTGATGAGGCGAGACAATTGTAATTTTTGCAGCTGACTGTGCTGTGTGCTGCTGTGGGACTGTAGAAGAAATCAATTTCCGGCACATTGTCAAGTGCAAGATGTCCAATTCAGCTGCGGGCCAAAGAAAAAGATACAAAAGTATCTACAAGGAGCTCGAACAACTGTCAGATACAAAAGTATCTTTGTGCTCATTGCTGTGCATGGAAAGTTCAATAGCACGCGCTGCATTTGGTCTGTGTGGGTTTTTGCTTTTCGTAATTATTTATCGTTTTTACGGCTGTCCCTCTTGCTCAGCTGTCGGCTCAACGACAATCCGTCAGATACTTCTGTCTGCAGCTTGGCTCTTAATTTTCTTTTGCGCTGCATCATCATCATCACCATCATCATCATCATCGTCGTCGTCGTCGTCATTACGATCATCATCAGCGGCATGCCGCGCAGTATCTGTGTGTATCTTGATGAAAAAGCAATTGTTTCTAGCCGACGTCCATTAAATTGGAAAATGTGTTTTCCGCCTGGTGTCAGTTGGGGCGAAAAGCGCTTAATTATGTCAGGCAGCCAGCCAGTTGGCCAGCCGCTCGGACGCCCAATAACAGTAACTTGTGACTCAATTGTATCTTAAAGATACTTTGCCCATTGCTGCACTGGCCCGAACACGCTAAGCGGATAATTGTCGTTGTCGTTGGCCCGATGTCATGTAGAAAATAAAGCAAACAAAACTTTGAAGGGCTTCCATTGAAAATGAAATTGCCGCCGACGCATACTCAAACGGGGTTAGATACACAGATACAAAAAGTATCTGCAGTCACTCAGTGACGATTTAACTGCAGCAACAGCAGCAGAAAATCAATAAATCGGCAGCTGTCTATGTATAACTGCAAACGAAAGTAGTTTTCGATACTTATGTATCTTTAACTGTATTTATGTATCTGCATCTATAAATGTATCTGTGTCTTTAAGAGTATCTGTATCTTTAAAGGTATCTGCATCTTAATATATCTGTATCTATAAATGTATCTCTATGTATAAATGCATCTGTCTCTATAAATATATCAACATCTGTAAATTTACCTGTATCTATAACTTTATCTGTATCTATAAATGTATCTGTATCTATAAGTGTATTTGTACTCGTTATCCCTATCTGTACATGTATCTTTATGTGTGTATCTCTGTAGCTACAGCTTTAATTGTAAGTGTATCCGTATCGCTCGTGTATGGTTCCCAGCCAGTGAGCCATCTAGTCGTATCTGAAAGATACAAACACATACGCACACAGCTTGTTAATCAAATCAGTGTTGAGCCGAGCGCATGCATAATGAAACCTGAATAGGACGCGCTTTGTGCATCAATTATGTCGCATTAAATCCAACATCTTAGCTCGCATCTTTGAGATACAATTTACGCATTCAAATTGTAGGAAGTTTCATATTATGCTGAAACAGAGACAGTGAGTAAACGAGAAAGCGAATGTATCTGCTTGCTGCCTCCCACCCACACACACACACACACACACATACATACACAGACAGTGGAGGAGCAACGTTGCTGCATGTCAATGTCAGGCCGTGCCCCTGCCGCAGTTGCAACTGCAACTTGCATCAATTTCGTGTGTTAATCTGGCGCTGCCTCAATTGAAGCTCCCCTGCCTACCAAATGGGCTCCAAGTGGGTGTTTTTCGAGTGCGGGCAACACTTTAAAAGTGCAACGACTGTGCTGCTGCATCTGCTGCATCAGTGCCCCATCATCAGCATGTCCCATGTCCAGAGAACAGAGTACAGAGTATAGAGTGCTGCAGCTGCAGCTGCAGCAACGGATTGTCAATTATTAACCGTTGTCAAGTTGCTTTCGCACTTTCGAGGCGACTCTGTCTGTAGGTAACTGCTCGCAGTTGTTGCATGGCCCATTGTCTGTTTTCTCTGATTCTTTCCACTCACTTGAGCACACACTGCCGTTGTGTGTGTGTGTGTGTGTGCAACATCAATTGTTGTAAAATTTTAAGTAACTTTTAATGGTCTTTGTCGCGCCTGTTGTTTGTCTCTTTACCACAGCCGAAGATCCAAAGACAGAGTCGAGTGAGAGCTATTCACGAGCATCATTTTGGCTCGTTTTCTGCTTTTCAGCATCTCTTTTGTTGTGCGTCTCTTGTTGATCTTTTGTAGCAAGTACTTACATGTGTGCCCATATAGCAGAGATACTCGATCTTTGGCCAGGCAATGAACCTTAAGCAACTGCCTCTTCTGATTGACCCTAATGTGCTGAAAGCGAGCCCTAGGGTCACTAGAAGTTATTGATTAGAAATTGTTTTATTCATGACTCATTTGTAAATCCTTTCGTTCCCTTCTCTGTGCGGTGCTTAACCTTAGCTCTGAGGCACACTTAAAATGGTCTCATATTCCAGTCAGACAAACTTCTAACTATGAAACCACTCCACTTGCTGTCCCTTATTCCTGCCCATGCCAACGGCCATGTCCGTGCCCATGTCCGTGTCCGTGTCCCGTGTACCACGACCATGTAGCTTACTAAATAATGCAGTAAATTATTTGTGTGTGGTTGTGGTTGCCAAATGGTGGGGCTGGTTGTCTGGTTAGTGGGTTGAGTGGAACACATAAAACTACAGACGTCATGCGGTTGTCGTTCTAAGTTTTTTATGATGTTTCGCAAATTTACAACAATGCTTGTGCAAAAAGTTTTTTCGTGCCTCGAATCAAACGTATTTGTAGCTACGCTCTTTTTATGGCCTACTTCAAGGCGCTCAGCCAGGATTCACTTACGGCCTGGAAGCAGGGACGTAGACACACAAAAAAGCCATATAATTGTGCTTAAACATAAAGCGGATTTTGGGTTCTCTCACTCTCTCTCTCTCTCTCTCTCTCTCTTTCTACATTGAAGGGGGCAGACAAATTGTGGTCTTAAATTACGAGCTAAGCGAAAAGGGAAGGACAAAGCAGGAGAAAGCAGAGTCTGCCTGGGTATACCTATAAGGCAGACAGAGACTATTTGTGTCGTACTTCCTGTTACCCACGCGAGCTGATCCACATTTAAATTAAACATGAACTTGTTAATTACACACACAACCCACATGACAACAACAACATGCCACATGTGCTGCAGCAGTTGCCTCAAACCGCGCCGCTTCCTTTGCGCGTTGGGCAACGCCCCCGTCGCGTCATTTGGCGGGTTTCCTCGATCCCATTGAGGATCTGTCCGAAACGACGTGACAGGCATACGTCATGCTGTCATGAAATACGTAACTCAATACGCATTTCATTGGCAGTTTTCACTTATTTTTTAGGGTCCGCTAACATACATAGAGGTGCAGCTGCTGCCAAAACAATTCCTAAATTAATTGATTCAGTAGCAAGCAAACTGTTCACATTTTCATTGAATTTGTTGGGGAAGCCCCTATGTGGGCAGGAGCTAGCAGATGTATGAGGGCTAACGGTCCCTTTCCTGAGCCACACTTAAAATTCCCAAACAGTTCTAGCATTACTTTCGCTACGCATCACAATTTCCAGTTGACATGAAAAATAGCAAAGGCAAGGAGCAACAACAACAAAAGGAGACAAGGAAAATTACAAATGAAAGTTAGTTTTTCTCAGGGGTAGACTTGATACAAAATAAAAATAATAACAAAGGGGTTAAAGCTGTACGAGTGGAGGGAAGGACGAGGTTCGGTTGTTGTGACGCATCAATTGCGTGATTTTTGCCCGACAGATGTTTTTCCTGGCACAAACTGCGCCTCAGGCTCATCTACGTAGGCAACACTCAACACTTGTGCCATTAGAGGTGAATCTCAAACGGAATCCCAATGAACTGCCAACCGGTTGCCTCTCAACCCCCCGTTCGCAATAGTGCGAGGCGCAGAGCACATATACAATGTATTTTGCATTTACTGTACAACACACAGAGAAAGAAAATAAAACAAAAAACAAGAGAAATGAAGAAGAAAACCTCAACGAAGCCGTCGCCATGTGCCGCAATTGTTGATGTTGTTGTTGCTGCTCGCAACGGGCTATGCACAATCCCTGCTGCAGGGCGCCGAGAGTGAACATGAGCATGAGTGAGTAAGTGAGTGACTGAGCGAGCGAGTGAGTGAGGGAGAGAGAAAAAGATAGCGCAGCAGAGCGCCCTGCTGCTTTCGTGCCATGGACCAACCCCTATGCCGGCAGTTAACGTTTTGTTCTGCATTTGCCTTCCAGTGAGCGAGCGCCAACAAAGAGAGAGAGAGAGAGAGAGAGTGCGAGAGAGCGCATACATTTCCAGTTTGACTGAAGTTGTGTGCTCCCGTTGACAGCGTCTGGTTGCTTCGGCCGCCAGTTTGAGCCACGCTCTGCTAGACGCCGCACGCTTTCGGTTCTGCTGCTTTTGAAACGCGCACGCGACGAGCATTTCTTTCCAGCTCACTCACAGCAACAAAAGAACACACAAAAAAAAAAATAAAATAAAATAAAAAGAAAAACTACGACCGGCTTTGTAAAGGATAACAACTTTTTTTTCCTATTGCCATAGCCGTGTCTAATAAAAAACGTGTGGAAAACAAAAACAAAATACGAAAGAAAAAGCAAAAACAAAGAATACGTGATTATCGCTTGTGTGCAAAATTTTTATTGCAATAAGGCAGAAACCTCTGTGCGTGTTATACACACCTAACAGTGTCCTGCAGGATAGCTCATCAAGGATTCTGTATACATATGCCCGCTGTATGCTGCACACTCGGATTATTTCCATTTGCACATATTTTGCCCTAAGCGAAACAAGTAAGAAATAAACAAGAAAATATTATATACATTATACATATTATACATAAATAGACAAGATCTCAGTGTTTTTCAAAATATATTTATTTCTCTTCAGCTTATTGTTAATTGTTATTTATGTGCTGTGTAATATTTTTATACAAATTCCAGCTCAATTTCTCTTTGAAAGAGTTAATCTTCAAATTAAAATTTCAATTTGGAAATACATAAATATTGTTAGCAGCTTTTACATATTCCTGCTAATAGCTCGTGTCATTGCTGTACCACAACAACAACTACAGTTTGGAACCCCATGCATTTCCCCCCTTTTCCATTAGCAAGCCATTTATCATGAACATATCATAAACTGCGCTCCCCCCTTTTCCCATATGTCAATCTGGCAGCGCCTAAAATCTCGCCCATGAAAAGAAGCTTGAAGTTATTGTTGCCTTTAGCGGCTGCAGCTAAAAATAGGGAACCTAATTAATATGCAAGCCAACGAAATATATCCAAAAGTTGAAATTGATGTAGCTAAAGCCTACTTCGAGTCGACAATGATTCAATAATAAATTTATCGCTGCTGGCAATTAAAACAAAAAAAAAAAAAAAAAAAAAAAGAAGAAAACTTCAGAAATCTTCATCCGGGCAGCTGTGCTCCAACAGCAGCATCAACAATAACAATACGTAAAGGCGCCCAAATGACTTCCGGGAATCATTTGGAAAAACAAAAAAAAAAAGAGGCTAAAAAATCAAAATCAAAGCAAACTCCGTGTAATCTGACAAAAGAAAAGAGAGAAGAAGAAGCTGACAGCTAAGGGAAAACAACATTTGCATTTTCATGCGTTCAAGATTTATTGGGCCGCGACTGTTTCAGTTCCACTGTTCCCACTCCCGCCCCCAGCACCTACCCCATTCCACCCGAGTTAATTTGATTGTTTTGCCCGCTTTCAAAGACAAAAGCCGCTATTAGTTTTTCACTCTGGAGGCTTTTCACATTTTCACTGCGTAATGAAAAGCAACAACAAAATTACGTTGCTTTGCTTTAAATTCAATTGAAATTTTCTGTTATATAATGAGTAGGTGGGTGGGGGCGTGCTAGGGCGGCACGGCTTTCACTGCGAATGTAAACAAAAACAATTAGAGTTTTCAACTGGCAAAAGGTTTTTTGATAGCACTCAGCTGGCAGTTGGGGCCGAGGTTGGAGCTGGGGTGTGGGGCCCAAGGGAAAGGGAAAAGGGCAAAATGGAAAACTAAACAACTTTTTCAACACTTTCCAATGCTAGATAAATAAAACACTCAACAACTGTACCCCAACCCCCATCGGTCCCTCTAGCACGGGTTCATGGTCAAATGTTGCATTTTAATTTCAATTTCAATTTCAATTGCCTATAGAATAAATCCCTCAACGAGCCCAGTCAGATCTCAACAGATCTCACTTTCCACTCGACTCCTCGCTATTGACACTGACTAATGAGGCAGCCATTGGAACGACTCATAAATTTCACTGTCCAAACTGTTGACACACAAAGTAAACAAGTCGAGCTATAAAGAATAAACGTTGCTTCCAAGGGCTCCTAACTCAAAAAACACACACGTACACGCGACTCACAAACACGTAGACACGCACACATAGACAACGCTCATAAACATCCATTTTGAGTGTCCTGCATTGTTGCCCTTCGTCTTCTTTTATGCTTATCTCGTTGGCTCAATCTATGCCTTATCGCTGGTTCATAAAAAACCCAACTAACGCATCCTTGAGAGCGAAACGAACAGAAAATAGCACAAAAAGAGCAAGCGAGAAAGGCAGATCAACTGAGCTGTACTTGGAAATCCGAAACGCTATCTTGCTTGCTTGAAGTGCGCAATAAAATCGTACAATGATCCGTTTTTTCCCCTCTCAGATAAACGAAATATATTTATTGGAGTCTTTAGTTTGTACAAGAAATATAAATGGGTAATTCTAGATATAAAGTGTAAGAAAAGATCACTCAGGCAATGTTTTAATGATGTGGCTTATTTATTAAAGTACAGTACAAAGAAAAGAAATATAAAAACCTTAATAATATATACATATGTTATATTTTGAAAAATAAAAATACATACATACATATTCCTCTAGAATTTTTATTAAGAACATAAATATAAATAATATGTATAGTTTCATAAATAAACTTGTAAAATTCGAATATAAATTTGCTATAATTTATATAAATAAAAAACTCAAATTATATACAGACACAAACAATTTACATTTACCCTATGGTACATTTCTCATCAATTGAGATATGTATAAATTATTCATGAAATGAAGTTTATTATTAGAAAACAATAACTTTTCTCTATTTAGCACACTCAAAGCTGCCTAATCGACACTTCATAAATTTTCCAATTCCACAAAGAACTTGGAAAAGTCTCAAATGAGCACAATTATAAATTCATAAAAGTTGGCGTTGGGTTTTCATACCCTAGGGAAATGTCGCCTTGATAATGGGTTGCTTTGGGCCCAATTCGTTGCTGAAGAGCTCTTCTGCCCCTTGGGATTGTGACCTGTGCACGTGTGCCAATGTGGTTGGGTTGTTTGGTGGGAAGATCGAGTGATTGGGCTTATTACATTTCATGCCCGGCTGAGTGAGCAGCTCCTGCAGCACATCCTTCCTCTGCGGCACGTGCAATCGAATGAGCTTTATGCACAAACAATTCGCAAATGGGGCAAGTTCATTAGCAGGCAGAGCTGCTGTTGCTGCTTCCACTTCTTTGCATGTTTTGATTAATGGCCATGAAATTAAGAACGAGAACAACAATAACATAGCTAACAGCGGCTGGTGGCTATTAAAAGTTAATTTCGAGGCGGGCGTTGCTTGATTTTTATTTTTTATTTTTAATAAATTGTATCTTTCAGATACACACGGCAAAAGCGCCCACAGGCATTTGTAGCTTGTTAGCCAAAATGAGAGACTTGGCCAACAGCTTGGCCTGCATGTCCGTCCGACTGGCCGTTTGGACCCTTCACCGGAGCCGCTTGTCGGTGTCCGGATGACAAATTGACTTCGTTAGAGCAATTTCTCCGCTTAAATATGAATCGCAAATTGAAAAATGATTGGCCGCAGGTATCGTTGAATATGCCACTTGATTGCTTTGTGGTGGTGTTGGTGGTGTTGATTGTATTGCTGGTGCTCTTCCTCCCACTGTTGCACTGCAATTTGCAGCTCGGTTAGTGGCGCCTAAATCTGCCTCCATTTGCACATTTTTCACCCACGGCACGGCGCCTCGGAAATTGCCGCCGCGTGTTAATTGCATTTGCTCCTGCTGCCGCAAATGTTGTTATTATTGTTGTTGCTGCTGTCTAGACATATTTGCCTCGTATATAATCAAAAACAAAAAACTTTATACACAATCGGATTGCGTTTTGGGGTTAAAGCGCTTGAAATTCGATCACAATCATGTTTTTTAATGGACAGTCCGCGTCTGTCCGGCAGTTGTTTCCAATTCCAATCTAATATCCTGTTTAATTGGCCATAAAGGCGTACACGCAATACACTTCAACTGCATGGACATAGTTTTTATAACTATCGAGTGTAAATCGGGTATATAGACTGGATTGACTCTAATGGATGTACATGCTAGTGCATATTCCAAACGGAGTTTACATCTGACAATATATATACAAAAATGTATTGATTTTAACCCATTTTCATATTCAATCAAACTACTTAATATGATATGCGGCTCATAGGGTATTTCGCTGTCGACTACTCTAACTTGTTTGCTTTGTTTACCTGCCGCCTGTGGTGTGTGACAACCCTGTCGCTAAGTTTACGGCGTGTCAACACGCACATGGTACGCCATCTGGTGGTGGATGTAGGCAACAGCAATTCTTCAATTCATTTTTTGCGTGTGTGTGTGTGTGAGTGTCTGCACTAATCATAATGCAAACAAATAGATTGCTTTCAATCTACCAACTTTCCAGTTCCTTCCCATTCCGCACCCACAGCCTAAGCACGCCATCTACTGGCAGAAGTTGGCAAAAGCAATTCTTCAACTCACCTTCCTGTGCGTTTGCGTGTGTTAGTCAACACTAATCATAACAACAACAGTAGCAAATGGATTGCTTTCAATCTAACTGCCTTCTACTACTCGCAGTTCCTGTCCCTTCTCTCGCTCGCCCACGCCCCTTATTTCATGGTTGGCTGCCTTTTGGTAGTACAGGTTGCGCCTTTGTCGGCAGTTAAGTCAACAACATTTCGCCGGCAGTTGTCCGAGTTCTCACTGTACCATCGACACTCCTGGGTGTGCACAACAATTGCATTTTTATGCGTTTCAAAGTGTATTTTGGACATGTTAAGCATTGCCTAAAAATGTATTTTCTGATTAGGGTTTCAGCTAATGCGTGGTTAGTTCTAGCCTGTTTTTATTGTTTTTTTCCTGTTTTATTTTCCCTGCTTGGGGTGGGATTAGTTTTATGTGTGGTAGCTTTATTGTTGCATGCCTTTTAGTACAATCTGCACAGTGGTAGATAAGAATTTTAAGCTATAGCTATAACTATATAGAAAACTGAATAATTTATAAATAATTTTTTTCTAAATATAAAAAGGTAACAAATAGATAATATTCCCATATTTATATCTCTTAAATAATATATAAAAACCTAAAAAATATTCAGTGGTTCAACATGATCTCTTTTTATTTTTACTCTGCATTCATAAATTATTATTTTTTGTGCAAGATTTGCGTTTTGAGTCCACTGTGCCGAATCCCTAAAAAAATATAAAATATGTTCGCAGCATTTGTCGACACAAAACTTTTATGTTTTAACGGCAATTTTCATGTGCGTAAACCAACAAAAAAAAAAAAAAACAATGGAAAACCTAAAAGAAAAAAAAATAGTACAGGAAAACGGATCGCATGTCAAACGCAACTTTCGTATTGTGATTTAATTTATGAGGCAAGACAAATTATAGACTCCAACACATATGCCACATGCCACATGCCACTTACATATATACGCTTATAGACAAATATGGGCAGACGGATATAATGAACAGATAACTGGACAGCCGACTGGAAAATGCGTGACAATGGGCGCGTCAACTTTGGCCCCATGTCTGTGGCTGGTCAAAGACTTTCAACACATTTCTCAGCCAATTAACAATGATGATGAATGTTGGCAGCAACATTTTGTAATTGCAATAAAAATGCAGGGCAGACAGATGGAGATAAAGATACAGATATATATGCAGTTGATACAGAAAGAGATACAATTACAGATGCGCTTAAAGATAGAGACATTTCTTAAATACAGGATGCAGATACAGAATCTTATAAATTCAGATTCAGTTAAAGATACAGATACAATTGGATATGCAGATACAGCTGCCAAAAGAAGGCAGCTGTGAATGCAGACACAGAGGCACAGATTGACTTGAAGTTACAGATGCATATATAGATACATATGGTATTATAGCTGCAGTTCTCTCAGATACAGATGCAGCTACTGTCGCTCAGATACAGATACAGATAGTTCGACTATGTCTGCTTCAATGCAAGTAGTAAACTCGAGTGCGGCGTAATTACTTTGACCTGCTTCTGTTAGCGATTCAACAGCTTGGCAGCTACGCAGACAGCCCCAGCTCCTCCCACTCCTCTGTCTGCGTCTCCTCCTACTCCGCGGACTAATGCTTTGAAATCCGCTTCAATTGGATTTTCTTGTGGCACAAGTGACACTTTTTCACTTTCGATACGCAACATTGTGCTACGTTCTATTCGCTGCTTGCTGTGTTGTGTTTTCCCCTTTGCTTTCCTTTCCACTAGGCTGCACAATTTCCATGCAGTTGACCAAACTGTGATAATGATAATGTCCACAGATTATGTCACGCAACAATTTGAACTTTAAGTTCACATTTTAATGGAATTTCGTTTGATTTACATGCAACGGCGGGTTCATGACTTGGCATCGTTTTCTCCCCCTCCAACATTTTCCACTAATGTGTGGTGCGTATGGTTTTTAGTGTAAGTGCAATATGTTAAGGATTTGTTGAGGCTTCGTCTGAACTGAGTCGGAAATTGAGTATGTGGCAATACTTTGAGCTCGGGCGTCTTTATCAGACAGCAGCTGAGGGGGCACAATTGAATGCTCTATATATTCAAATTCATATTCGAAATATGCCAGAGTAACTAGTTGATAAGGAAGAAAATGTTTGATAGAGTATAGATAGAACTAGTGAGAGTACAAAATGGGAAGAGTCTTGACAGTCAACAGATGGGGAAAAAAGTGCTCTTTAATGATATGAATAGAACAAATGAGAGTGAAAATAGGGTCTAGAGAAATTAACTTTGACTTTCTTTATAACTAGCTAATACCCTTTTAATGAGTTTCAGTCTGGAACTGTATTTGTATTCCTAATGTAATTCTAAGCTAAGCATTCGTTATAAAAAACAGTCACTTTGAGTTTTTTCTAAACGACTTTCTCATGACTTCTGTCGCTTGCACTGTGGTCAATTAGCCAAAACTGAAATCTGGTACGTGCTACTGTGGCAGAAATATCTGGGAATTTCGCAGCCGGCGTCGATCTTAATGATTGCTGAGGCCAAGGACGCGCTTGCTGAGCGAACGTTGCGTCCGAAGTTTTCCGCTAATTAAAGAAGGCGACTTCGTTATTCTTAGGGAAATGTGTTAAAACTGTTAAAGCGCACGTAGCCAGGGCCAGGGGAAAATGCCAAGGGAGGGAAGTTTGCCTGTGCCTGTGTGTTTGGCTTGGTTTGTGCGCAGCTGGCTGCTTAATAAATTTGCGGTCTTCCCGCCCCGAAAAAAAGAAAATGACATGCGGCAGCCAGGACATGCAAGCGAATTTCCTCGTCTACCTGAGACGCTTTTCCAGGTAGGCCTTACACCAGGTAGAAGATGCGCACAAAGGACTTGCGCAGCCGGCATTAACAATTTGGCTCAGCTGCTCGGCTTTTTCAATTCCCTCGTATAAATGTGAAGCGCCGCTCCGTCCGGCAGCTAGAAGCAAAACAGCACGCGATCGTGATAGATCTTAGATCCTTAGCTGCATAGCAACTACCACCAAAGTTTAACATAGTTAATCAAACATATAAAGCAAACTAAGTCCAGGTTGGCAGCACGCGAAAAATAAATAATAAATACCAACAACTAACTCCAGTCTCTGTGTTCGCTCTGCTTTCAGAATTCCCATAGAGTTCTTTAAAGTAAATCACAACAAGGCCAAGCAACAGCAAACACTGCACGATGGGTGAGCTAGAGGAGAAGGAAACGCCACAGACTGAGACGCAGGGGCAACAGGAAACGCTGGAGGAGCCCAAGGAGACGGACAAAATGCTGGACAGCAAGAAGGATGAAGCCAAAGAGAAATCGCCCAGTCCACAGACATCGAAGCCGGCATCGCCCAATGCCGGCAAGAAGTCACCGGTGCCAGGGGCAGAGGGCAATCCGGCTGAGAAACCAGCTGGCGAGGAAATTATTGACATACCCGCAGAGAATGGCAGCAAGCCCAACGGAGCTGGAGCCGATGGCGATGAGAAGAAGATCAGCAAGGAGGAGCGCGAAGTGAAGCCGAAGAAAATACCAATCGGTGGCCTGAAGCTGCCTGGTTTCTTCATGAAGAACAAGCCCAAGGCGGAGGGCGATGGCGCCGAGGGTGAGCTGCTCGAGAAGGACAAGGAGCAGGCGGAGGAGAAGGAGGCCAATGGCGATGCTGCAGCAGCGGCCGCTGGCAAAGATGGCGAGCAAAAGCCACGACCTGGTCTTGGCCAGCGTTTGCGCAATTTCTTTGTGCGCAAGCCAGCCGCTGATAAGGAGCAGCAGAAGAAGCAGCTGACCAACGGCGATGCGGATGCCAAGTCGGGTAAGTAGAGAGCGAATGCACCTGCTTCACAGTTGCTAATAAACTCTATTCCAAATAGAAGCCACAGCTGAAGCAGCGGCTGCTGAGGATGCAGATCCGCCGCCGAAACGCGGCTTACTCAATGCCATCAAGCTGCCCATTGCCAACATGATACCCAAAAAGCGAAGCGGCGATGATGTGGAGCTGGGCCTGGGCAAGGCTGGACTGGCCTCGATGGAGACCCTCGACGATTCGCTCAAGGATCAAGACACTGTCGATCGTGCGCCACTCAAGAGCAATGGAGCCGATGAGCTGAAGAGCGAGCTTAAGGACGAGAAACTGGCTGCAGAGCAAAAACTAGCCGCTGAGGAGGAGGAGCGGGAGCGCCCCGTCTCCTTGTGGTGCCGCCTGCGTGGCTATAAATGCAGCGTAGATGATGCGCTGATCGTGTTCGGCATTCTTCTGTTCATGCTGCTGCTGGGCGTGATTGGCTATGTGCTCACCCATGAGACGATGACGTCGCCTCCATTGCGCGATGGCCGCTACATCTCCACCGTCACCGGCTGCGGCTTGGTCGAGGGTGTCAAGGATGATGGCGCATTTGCCTTCCGTGGTATTCCATTTGCCAAGCCGCCACTGGATGAGCTGCGCTGGCGTCCAGCGCAACTGATTGAGCAGATCGACGACTGCTGGAACGGCACACTGCAGGTGCACAATCGGAGCACTGTCTGTACGCAGCGTTTGGGCAATGGCACAACAATTGGCGAAGAGGATTGTCTCTATTTGGATGTGGTTACGCCGCATGTGCGCTACGAGAATCTGCTGCCTGTGGTGGTGCTCATTGGCGCCGATTCGTTGGCTGGTCCCTCTCCTGGCATTCTGCGCCCCTCAGCGCGCTACTCCCGCTCCCATGATGTGATCTTTGTGCGTCCGAACTTCCGCTTGGGTGTCTTTGGTTTCCTCGCATTGGAAGCCCTCACCAAGGAGTCGCATCCACACACCTCGGGCAACTATGCACTCACCGACATCATTGCAGCGCTCAAGTGGATCCAGCTGAATATCCGGAATTTCGGTGGCAATCCACAGTCTGTTACTCTGCTGGGTTATCGTGCAGGAGCGACGCTCGTCTCGGCTCTGGTCACCTCAAAGAAACTGGAGGGTCTGTACACCCGTGCCTGGGCCTCGTCCGCATCGGCCATTTTCCCAGGCAAACCGCTGCAGGAATCGGAACGTTTGAATCAGCAGATCATGGCCACTTTGGACTGTCAGGATGCAGCTTGCCTGCGTGAGACATCCAGCGAGAAATTGTGGGCTGCCACGCCAGACACCTGGTTCCAATTCCCCGCCACGATTCCCCAAGCCCAAGAGCTGACCAATGCCAATCGTCACGAATGGCTGGTGCTGGATGGTGATATTCTCTATCAGCATCCATCCGAGTCCTGGAAACTGGCGCCAATCCCAACCAATGCCAATCAGCTGCATCAGCCACGCCTCGTGATGGGCTCCACTGCCCATGAGGCACACACCCTGAAGCTGCGGGAATTGCACGCCAACTGGACTGCCGAGGAAGTGCGTTCATATATACAAAACTCGCAGCTGGGCGCACTCGGCTTGACCGATGAGATCATCAAGCGTTATAATGCCACCAACTACGCCGCTCTAGTGGCCATCATCACAGACATACGCACCGTTTGCCCGCTGTTGACGAATGCCCGCCTCCAGCCCACCGTTCCCTTCTATGTGGTCACCCAGGGTGAGGGCAGCGACAAGCTGGCCACCGTGGATGCCGATGTTCAGGCCATCCTGGGACGCTACGAGCCCCATACCGTTGAACAGCGACGCTTTGTCTCGGCAATGCAGCAGCTGTTCTACTACTATGTCTCCCATGGTACGGTACAGTCGTTTGATACGCGTCGTCGCGTCATCATCGTAGAGCAGGATGCGCAAGCACAGGAGGATCACGATCACTGCAACTACTGGATCGGAAAGGATATTGTGCCGCGATTCGCGCGTGTCGATTAAGCAACAGAGAGATCCTTCCTATACCTAATCCCAAACCCAAACCCAATCCTAACCTCCGTAATCTATGACAATGTTCGACGGTTTATTAACTGTCCTGTAAAAGTTAATTTTATCTTTCTCTCTCTCACACACTTTGTATCCGCCCCTTTTTAGAGTTTGTAGTGCTCTTTAGCTTTTCCAGTTTTCCCGATTTCATTATGAGTTTAGTTTAGCCTAAGTGAATCTAGTGTTTATATACGAATGTACATTTAGTTTCGACAATTATTTAAGTTGTAAGTTTTTTAAGTGTAACGCATAACTCCACAGCAGCAAAATGCATCTAAGTATGCCTCTACTAAACATAAACATTAACATAAACATATACATACATGCATATATCTATGATAATGTATTCTTTAATCTTAACAACACACTCAAAACACACACAAATAAAACACAACAAAATATATTTGAACATATACTTGAAAAGTATAGACAAAACATCACGTCTTTCAACTATCCAAAACACAGGAACACACACTCTTTCACAAACTCTATATAATAATTAGATATATATATATATACATATATATCACGTATAGCTGGAGCGTTAAGCAAAACCTTTGACCAACGATCTTTTTTGATACAATTTTTACATAGCAATGGGGCGCCATAAAGACAAGACTCAATAAATAAACAATGAAAAATCAAAAAATGAAACAATATAGATTTCGTAAGGTAAACAAACAGGAGAACGCATAAAAAAATATTAAAATATTCATATATACAAAAAGAAAATATATAAACGTGTGTTTAACATTTGAGACTGTATGTACTATACATAGAGACATATATGTACTATAAAAAATCCATTTCGTTCCAAAATTCCCTTGCCCAGAAACACAATTTATATTTTCTATAGCTTTAAATGTATATTAGTCAAGCATTCAGCAAACTTAAATGTAAATTAAAAGACCATATTCATACTTGTTTTTTATTGTCTTTTGCTGCATTTTTTCATACATGTTTTTTACTTTTCGAATATACTCAGATATCGAAATAATTTAGGTAAACGTATATGTAATTTGCACATTGAAACAAACGAAAAAGAATAGATCTTAAATTAATTAGACACAAAATAAAAAAAGAAGAAAATTTAAATCAAAAAAGCTCTGCAAAAATAAATGGCATTTAGCATTATGGTCAAGATCTGTGTGTTCAAGTGATACAAATAATAATGATTAAATGAATATACTTCTATTTCAAGTTTGTGTCTCAAAAGCAAGCATGAGAATGTTTAAATAAAAAACCACAATGAAATATAGCTCCTAATTGTTTAACTTTTAACTAGCTACTAATTAATTCTGCTTAAAAACTTTGGATTGTCACAGCCTTGGCGACAGCTACAGGGAATTGGTGGTGTTTTCTTTAATTCCTGCTGCTGTTGACCTTATAGATGCGACATTTGTTATCCGTTAGGGCGGCCAAATAGGAGCCAGCCGACGTGTTCACTGGACAGATGTCGTAGACAACCTCATTCACCGGCATGGTTTGGACGCGTTCTTCTCTCCGCACATCGTACATCATTAGCTGTTTGTTGTCCTGCAAGTAGCCAACGACCAGTGTATTATCCTCCACGCCCAGTTGTGTGGGTCGTGTCATATAGGGCGTGGCAGTGGAGCCAAATATTGTTGCCTTTACTTGCAGCACTGGTACGCCATCAATTTTGTCCAGTTTGGTGAGTATAAAGCGCGACTGGGGGCAATTGGCATTGGAACGCGCTGAGAAGAGCACCGTGTCCTGCAGCACATCATAATGCATAGATAGGAAGGGCCCTTCGACATTGAGGCGGGTTGGCACGGCCGTATCACTAGCATACTCATAAAATTTCACTACGGTCAGCTGGCAAACCAGAAAGCCACCGTTGGTGAACACCTTGCCAGCGGGCACGGCAGCTATGTTTATCACAGGACTAAAGTTTTCTGTAAATAAGATCAGCGTTAAAAGAAACAGAACAAGGAAATCACTGTTAGCTTACCCTCAGATTGAAACTCGCTGAGGATCGTCTCCGGGAAGCGCATATCGAATACATAGACCCCACCCCTAAGGTCGCCCGCATAAAGAAAATGTTCACGCTCGTTGCGATCCACTCCACAAGACCAGAGTGGCTTGTCATTGGCCGTGAACATGTTGCTGCATAGGCGGGTGCGCACATCGAAGGTCTTGATGCGGGTCTCGCGACTGGCCACGGTCAGCAACCGCTGGCTCTCGCTAAAGCCAATGTCTCGGACTAACAACGCCGAGGTGTGCAGAAAGTGAAGTGGTTTGAAGCTTGGCGGATCGATGAAACGGACGCCGTAGCCCGGAAACAGATTCTGTGCACTCTTCTGCGAGGCAATCAACGTCGATTGCGCAGCCGAGTAGAGCAGCACTCGGCAGCCGGGCTCTCGTGTTATTTCAAAGTTTTTCTCCATATAGAGTCGATGGCTAGACAATTGGCTGATGCTCTTCAATGTACTTCCACAATCATCGCTGTAAGCTCCACGGCAGCCGCCACCGGTGCGCACCATCTGGCGCAGTCTGTCGTACTCCAGCTGTAGGGCATTCATCTTGTTGACTGTCAGGGAGTGAGACATTTTAACTGTGGCTAGCTCCGTCGTAAGCGCTTGACTACGTCGTCGCTCCGCTTCCAGCTCCCTGCGCATGTCGTGCTCCTCCGTGCGGTCGATGGCCCGCACTCGCTTCGCATAGAGGCAGCGTATGTCTCGATTGGCAGCCTTTGTCTTGCATTGTGGACACACTTTAACTGCCGACTGTCGTTGGCTCTCGATCAGCCATCGTCGTATGCAGGATTCACCAAAGAGATGACCGCAGCGCAAAGATACCAAGCGATGCTCACCGCTCATTTCCCATGACTCCAGGCATATGGGGCACGTCATGCCGTCATCCTCGTCGTCTTCATTCGATGATGCCTTGGCTACTGGTGTACCCACTACATTACTAGCTGCATTAGAAAGACGCTTACGTTTCTTTGGCGGCGACGGAGAGTCAAGATTAATGACGTCGTCTTCTTGTTGTTCGGCTCTGCGGGATGTTGTAGGCTGCTCGGCATTTGCTTCTACCACAGCAACTATCTCCTGTTCAAGAGTAGGCTGTTCGGGTTCGGCTGCCACGTCTGGCTCATTCGCTTCTGGATCATCAGCCACTTCTGGCTCATCAGCCGCTTCTGGCTCATCAGCCACTTCAGGCCCATCAGTTGCTTCTGGCTCATCTGCCGCTTCCGAATCTGAATCTTCATCATCATCCAAAGGCAGCACATCTACGCTCCGCCGCTGCGCAGTTGGCTCTATATTGACCTGTTGTTCTTCAGGTGCTGCGTCGCCTATCTGTTCTAAATTACCAAGATCCAGATTCTGAGTTGGTCCAATACGCTGATATCTTCGCGAACCGTTCAGAAGTAAGGGCTGAAAATCCTGGCTGTCCGCATCCTGCTCACTTGCATCCGAGTCACTGTCACTCATGATTTATATTTTGTAATTTTTTAAGCTTGATGGATGCTAGCCAGCGACGTTTAAATACAAATTCAAACTATGTCGCTATGGGATTAGCATTATGTTGCATTTACTTGTTTTGTTGTCGATTGTAATAACATTGATAAAGCGCGTTGATTTTATATGCTTGATGCGGCATCTGGCAACTCCACAAATCTGGCAGCACAGGCATCGACAGAAATGAGTATATTGACATAAGTATCGATATTTTGCGAAACATTTCGACGCTGTAGACGCCATTCATTTCTGGTTTTGTAAAGCAAAGAGCGATTTCAATTGCTTATTGGTAATAAAGTACCAATAAAACACCGAAATCAACGTAACCATTGTGAGAGAAAAATACTTTGCAAGTGTCTAATACGGTCACGCTGCTTTAAACGAGCATCTTTGCCGGCAATCATATTTCGTATTCCGGCAAATAAATTGCATCAGTATTAGTGACTGGATACAATTCGCAAATCCCCAGATACACAGTCAAATACTTTCGAAAACTCGAAAATTTCGCAGCCTCCAAAGCACGCAAAACACTGCCCACTGCCCGTTTGTTTGGTAAGCGACAATTCGCGTAGTTTTTGTAAGCGCAACGCAATTTGCTGACTAACCGCTCTGTCCTTGAACTCGACAGACTTGGCTGCTGTCCATTTCAGTGAGAAATCTAAACACACGCGAAGCAAAGCGAAAGCCGACGCCGCCGACGCGCCAATTTAACTTCAATACATTTATACAATATAGTAAATCATTCCTTTGCTGCTCCGCTAACAGGAAAATACTCTAGCCATGGCCGAGGCAAAAACACCCGAAAAGATGCTGTCCGCTAAACCACCGGTGTATCATCCAAATAGCCATAGTCCAAATGCTACGCTCCAGCTGCCGAGTCCCATCATCACGCGGCGCACACGCACGGCCTCGACGTAAGTCGCCCCATCCCTATCCTTCATTCTTTCTCTCGCTCTGCTTTTAGCCTAACATACCCGACCTTCTCATCTGGCATTGATTTAATTGTCTGCTCCTCCTTCTCCTTTTTGCTTGCACAAACACGCGCGCGCACTCGAACAAAAACAAACCCAACAACAACAAAAACAGCTCAGCGCGTGCCATGGAAAATCCAATGGTTGGCGGTGTTGTGAAATCCTTTAGCCGCACTAAAGGACACGGCTTCATCACGCCGCACGACGGCGGCGAGGACGTTTTTTGTCATGTTTCCGAGTAAGTTTATTAAATACATTGAATTGAAAAATTCTACACGCAATTTAACACTTTAAATTTACTTTGCAATAGCATCGAAGGCGAATATGTGCCCATGCCTGGCGACGAGGTCAAATATCGCCTCTGCGCCATTCCGCCCAAGTTTGAGAAACACCAGGCCGTGCACGTGCAGATAAGCAATTTGACGCCCGAAGTGCACCACAAATGGGAGGAACCCGTCTTCTGTGGCTCTCCCGCCAAATAGATACTCGCTTCTGTAAAGGCCTTCCACAAAATTTAATTAACTGGAGCACGCAGCAGGAAAACAGAAAACAATGAAAACAATATTAAATAACAATAAACAGTTGGCCAACGAACGCCGATCAAGACAAACAGAATGAGATAAAAACTGAACAGCAAATGAAAGCATACAAAACGACTTAATCAATTGTACGTCACACAGCCAGCCAGCCAGCCAGTTTCAATTAAGTCTTTATTATTATTAAGCTAAGCAAAAAAAAAAAAATTTAACTTTTGTCACAATTGTGTTAGACTTTTTTGAAAAGACCAGTTTGAAGATTTGTAATGGATTCGTCTTGTAATCTGGAATATTGTTATTAAATATCGAGAAATTACTCGATGATTTGATTTGGAGCCTGTAACAGTATATGAATGCTTAATTTTGAATCATATTGAATTATTTAATTTGTAAACGCAAAGCAAAACAAATGACCGAATATCTTTATTACTAAAAAATATAAAAAGCTGAAATTTTCAATGTTTGTGTTTTCTTGTTTGCACATGGAACGATGGCCTTATCAGTGCGTTCAAAAAGCTATTTATAAATAAGTGTACATATGCATTTAATTAGGTTTTCTGCATGTGGGGGTAAATATTTTGAAGAGGAAAAAATGGTATCTGAAAACCGGTTAGTGAAATGAGCTTTGCGGTTAATCGATTTATCGATACTCTCACTGGCTTTCGATACGTTCGATGTTGTCCGAGCGAATCGTTGTCGTTGTGCTAAATATGAATAGTAATTGAATCAAGCGAAACGCGAACGTCAACAAAACAGCGCCACATCGTCATACAATGATATAAATCGCTGAAATAAATTTGATTAAATAAATTGAATTGAAGTTCGGCTCAGAAGGTTTAAAAAAAATTAAATTTTGTTTTTGGAAACCCGTTGCTAACATTAGCCACCTTTAACTGACGTGGACCTCCAGCTGTTGTTGTTTTTTCTTTGCTGCTGATTAGAGACGCAGCTGAAGGTGAGAGCGCAAATGAAATAATGAGTTAAAGCATACATAACACATTTTATTGTCCCCCTATTTGCAGACAACAACATGTCCACTCGCCGTCGGGGTCAAGCGCATGACGGGCAAACGGTCGTCGAAACCATGGCCCAAGGAGACACAGAGGAGAAGCCTGATTTGCGGGGTGATAGGCGCAACATAGCCATATTGCTGTTCCTGTACGTGCTGCAAGGCATTCCCATTGGCCTGATTGCTGCTGTGCCCATGCTGCTCCAGAATCGAGGCGCCAGCTACAAACAGCAGGCGGAGTTCTCATTCGCCTATTGGCCATTCAGCATCAAGCTGCTGTGGGCACCCATTGTGGACTCACTGTACGTGCGACGTTTCGGTCGTCGCAAATCGTGGCTGGTGCCTGTCCAGTATTTGTTGGGCTTCTTTATGCTGCTACTGTCGGTGCACGTGGATCGTTGGCTGGGTGGCAAAGACCTGGAGCCGAATGTACCATTACTAACGCTCTTGTTTTTTGTGCTAAACTTTTTGGCCGCCACGCAGGACATCGCGGTCGATGGATGGGCTCTGACTATGCTGAAACGTTGCAATGTGGGCTACGCATCCACCTGCAATAGTGTGGGCCAAACAGCTGGCTACTTCTTGGGCTATGTGGTGTTCATTGCTCTGGAATCGAAGGACTTTTGCAACACATATTTGCGGTCTGTGCCAGAGGATGTGGGCATGGTTACGCTGCCACGTTTTCTCTGGTTCTGGGGCATCACGTTCATCGTGGCAACCACGCTGGTGGCATTATTCAAACGAGAGAACGATGTAGAAGATGCTCACACCGATGCACGCTATAAGGAGGAGCACGAACTTAACATACACGAAAGCTACAAGGTGCTCTGGGATATGGTTCGCAAGCGACCCGTACAGATTTTAGCTGGCATTCTGCTCACTGTCAAAGTAACTTTCGCTGCCTCCGATGCTGTTACGTCATTGAAACTCATCGATGCTGGCGTGCCCAAGGAGAAGTTAGCGTTGCTGGCTATTCCCGTGATTCCACTTCAACTTATCTTGCCCCTTATAGTGGGCAAATATACCAACGGTCCCCGTCCACTGGATGTGTACCTAAAGGCGATACCCTATCGTATCGTGTTTGCGACTGTGGCCTCGGTCATTGCCTATGTCACTCCCTATTTGATTTCCGGCGGCGAGGTGCCCGTCTACTACTATGTGCTTCTTGTTTTCAGTTATGGCTGTTATCAGGTATTCCTGTACTCCATGTTTGTGGCCGCCATGGCGTTCTTTGCCAAGATATCGGATCCTGCCGTTGGAGGCACCTACATGACATTCCTAAATACATTATGCAATCTCGGCGGCAATTGGCCGAATACGGTGGTGCTTTGGCTAGTGGACGTACTAACCATAAAGCAGTGCACCACACGACCCGATAACCTTTGCCAGGATAAGGATGAACAGCAGGCAAGTCTCCTTCACTGCAATCTATCTATCTGTATATTCAATAATTTCGCTTTTTGTTTCTTTCAGGCCTGTTCCTCAGCTTCAGGCACTTGTGAGATCATATTTGATGGCTACTACTTGGAAGCGGCGGTGTGTGTAATATATGGCATCATTTGGCTGGCGGTGGTGCGTAAGTGGATAGTACATCTGCAGAATTTGCCCAACAAGGCCTGGATGGTAGTCAAACCGTCCGCATACAGGAATAAAAGGCGGTAGCAATTAATCGTCTGATCTTCATTCTGCGCTACGCGCACAGTCATTGGTACAAGAAGCTATACATAGATATGTAGAACTAGGGCTAGGATCTGTCTGCGTTGTAAGCTAGGCGAGATGTAAATTGTTAAGGAGCAATGCCCAACCCTCCGTATTGTTTTAAATAACTTAATATTCCGCGTGGAAATAAAATTAAATTCAATGTCTAGCATAAAAATAACATTTTGGATATATATCTATGCATGAATGTGGGCAACAAAGGTCTGTTCTGGCTGCGAATAGAGATGTTGTTTTATTCGCGACATGTGGCGTAACATTAGTTTTTTTACAAATCGTTATTGGCATCGTTGCCTGCGTTTTGAAATACAAAAAATACGAGTTTATCTTATGCTTAATAGTACTTCCAGGAGTCAATGGATTCTTGATTCTTTTGTTTGCTCTTGCGTTCAATTAGACCGGCCAAATGCTCTGAGCGCATAGACAGCGAGTCAATCTTCTCCACCAGCTGCTGATAAGGACTTAGTGGCTGTGTACCCATTACGACGTGGCCCAGTTTCGAATCGATCTTTGCATTGAGACGAGCATTGCGAATCAAGTTCACAATCCAGCATTCGGCCTCGTTGGGCTTCATATTCAACTTGTCGGCGAGCATGCTTATGGTGATACACTGATGGATGCGACAGAATGTTTCGAAGATCATCAGACGCGCATCCTCCACGAATTCGTTGAGGCAGGCGACAATGAAGAAGTCATTCAAAATAACTGTTTGGCACTCGTGCAACTTGAGGCGTGCGCCTTCAAAGTCAAAGTTCACATAGAGGCACTCGAGGAACTCGGTGATGGGATCACGATACGTGTACGATTCCTGTTGAATGACCTTAATCAAATCCTTGAGAGCATTGCGACGAGTGCGATTAATGACCACGGCGGTGGCCAAGTAGCGCATAATATGTGGGCACATTGTCTGTATAGCATTCAGATACAGTGGCTTATACAGGAACATCTCAATGATGAGGTCGCGGCCCTTTGGATGATTGAAGAACACCAACACGGACCAGTGGATCAACCAGGTGCGCTGCTGTAGCGCCTGAATAGTCGAGAAATTAGCGCTATCAATGTAGTCACGCAGACGCGTCAAATCCTCTAGTGCGGTATTCCAGTTGAGAGTCAGAATCTCAGCGGCCAACTTGCCCCACAGCACATTCAGATAATTCTGCAAGGATGACAAATAAGACACCAGTCGTAGGGATAAATGTTTCACTTACCTTATCGTTTGGCGACATGACAATAAGGCAGAAATACAAGTACGATGTTGATTCCTGGTAGTTGCCGCACTCATACAAGTACTTCGCCAGCTTGTAGGCACTCTCCAGGTGCTCCACCTTGAAATTGTAGTCCTTCTGCAGAGCATTGACGAAGGTCTTCGAATCTTTCATGCTCTCGCCGTTCTTAAGAATGTCAGTGGCCTTCATGATGGGCGCCACCTCGTTTTGCAGCTGCTTCAATGTAGCCAACACCTCGGCCTTGCGCTGCACAAGCTCTTCCGGCATCTCCTGGCTGAGATTGAGACGCTTGCGTGTGTCCATGGTGTAATCAATCATGTTCGTCTTGTTCACCGTCTCCAGAATGTACTCTAGCAACTCCTGCTGATTGTAGATCTGCGAAGCATATGCAAAATACGACCATTATAGTCATTTGTGAAGAATTTGACATTTGATGACGGTGACACGAAGCAATGAATTTTTCTAACCTCCTTGCCGCATAAAAACTCCAGCAGTGGGAAAGTCAAATGTCTGTCCAGATATTGACAATTGATGCGTGTTAGATCGAATTGTGCCATGATTGCAACTGTATTTTCACTATTTTATCAACAAATTACTATTAATTTCCACACAAAATCTGCACAAAAATACGCGTGCGAAAGACGCACAGTGCTGCCCTATGGCGAAAAGAAATGTTATTTTTATGTTTTTAGCATGTAAACACTGACAGGAGACAATATTGTTGTTGAACATCGATAGGCGGGTGAGTACACGATATTTTCAGTATATCGATAAGGTGATTGATGCTATAGCAGCCAGCTTTTCCTTACATAACATTTGGGCGGAAAATAAAAAGCTCTTTGAATTTTTGCTTGCAACACTTTAATATATTTAATACTTCACCATTTGATTTCACATATTTGCTTGTATATATAGGTGTACATTGATGCGAACTTTTTGTTAAATATATATATATTTGTATATATATGGATTAATTATGGTATTTTGCCAAGGAATCTTTAAACGTACGGCATTAAAAATACCAATATTTTTGTTTTGTTAATACATATTGTAAATAGTTTATAGAGGTACTTTGCAATTAACGATCAGTTGTAGCTCAAAAAACAAACAACACCTACAAATGCAATTCGATATAAGCTGAGAAAACTGCAGAAATATAAATATACGTGCTCAGTGCCATTATTACTTGTAATTTTGTTAATTGAGGGAATCAGCATACCAACTTTTGGCTAAATTCTCGAAACTGAAAGCGAGTAAGTACAATAATATATGAAACACAAATACATATCTAATATGTGATATTATATGTTTTTTGTTGTTGATTTTTATAACGCTTTAACGGTTAATTTCTAGTTATTGTCCTTTGAATTTGGATATTTTAGACCCAAAATTTGGGA